GTCATATTGTACAACTAATATATTTATAACAATTTTAAGGTAAGCTTCTTGTATGTAACATTTGGTCAAAATAATCATATTTTAGTTTGGGTAAATCACCCGCAGTAATGTCAGACATTTAAGGTTAGCAATGGGTCAAAACAACCTTGGTATTATAACTGCTCTATTGTTCCAAACTGGGTTTTGAATCTATTGATTATTGGTGTGCAGCAGTCCCTTAAACCATTTAGTCTCTGTCTACCTTTTGTGATACCGACTGGGCTGTGTTTAAAAAATGCTTTACTATTTTTATCAGGACAAGTTGTTAACCTTCAGTAAATAGCTCTTCAGTAAAATATTTATCAAAAAAAAAAAATCATTTCATATATATATAAGAAGAAGGCCGTAGTGATAGATGTAACAATCCCAAGCGATAGCAACATCAGGAAGAAGGAACACAAGAAGCTTGAGAAATACCAAGGGCTGAAAGAAGAGCTAGAAAAGATGTGGAAGGTGAAGGCACAATTGGTCCCCGTGGTAATAGGAACACTTATTTGGAAGGAGATATGAATACACAGACCCTGTCCTCCAAGCGACTGTTGACAAATACCATGAGTCCATCCATCTGATTGGATCAGCTTCCATCCTGGTACTACATAACAAATTCAGATGATTATAAGGACATTTAACATTGCTGTGCAAACTGACAAGTTGTTAACCTTCAGTAAATAGTTCTTCAGTAAAATATTCTTTTCAAAATTTAATTAGTGCTCATAATGCAGGAAAAATACCCCTGTGAGTGTTCAGTTTTATATATATACACTATTGTTATTTGTTTTGACTATTATTGACATCTCAGTATATAAGTAAGCCTTTACTGTTGTATTATTGTTGGGTTAACTATAACAATGCATCATATTTTATAAAATCTTAATCAGCAAATGAGCTATTAGCTGCTGTCATTGGCTAAATGTAGTGAAGTAAAATATTTTTTCTGAACTACGTATATGAGAGTAGAAGTATAAAGTTACATGAAATGGAAATTTTTGGGTACAAGCATCTTAAAATTGTAACTAAGTACTGTGTCTGGGTAAATGTATTTAGTTGATTGATACTTATGACTTAATATAAACTTGCAAAGATCTTTCTGAGAAATTAAAATTTATGACCCACCAAACATTTTTTACTTTAAATAGATTAGCTAAATGAAAAGGCTGATTAAATCAAATGGTCCAAGGCTTAAGTGCTCATGGCTTTCATAAATGTCAAATTGTACAATATTTAGGATGATTTGTTTCGTGCACTATTACAGATTTACAATATGGTTCCTTGGCTGGGCCCTTATCTTAAAGACTGGAGGGATTTGATGAAGAATACAGAGGACACCATAAGGGAAAACAAAAACAACATAAAGGCTCTGAAGCAGACTTGGAACCCTGAGATGTGCAGATGCTTTGTTGATGCATTCCTGACCCATAAGCAAACTCTTGAGGTGAGGTATTGAACCCCAGTGAATCAACTTCTGGGCTAAAATTGGCAATCAGTCATTCATTCTTTAATGTCCATGGCATGCTGTATACTGTATGCGCAGTCTGCCTTTGCATACAGTATACTGTAATGTGTACATATGGTAGTTTGCTTGCATAGGTTAAAGAGCTCATGGCATGCTTTTCCTTGTTTTCTGACTTATCTACCATGTTAAAACTGTGAATTATCATCTTAGACGTGACCTGAAGCTCAAAATAAACATTACGTGATAGTTTAAGGATTTCCTTGAATGGGCATAATGGTTACTGCCTGCAGCAGTGTTCCTATACAGGGACTGGCTGCTTTACCTGACCGTGTCTAACCTACAAGCAGCAGCCGGCCAGTGAAGCACCCCGGGTGGTGGATGATCAGCTCATCAATGCTGGATCCCCCCGGAGCACAGTACCTGTTTGTTTTGGCTGTTTGTGGCCAGTGTGTCTGCCGCATGTGATGTGTTGTTGGTTAATGAGCGAATTAAAGATCCATGATATTACTGTCGGTGCTACACTACCTTAATTAATTTCACTACTTTGGGACTGTATGTAGTAGTTTGGGGGAAGATGCAGGGATCACCTGTTGGATGTTTCCTCAACTAGGTGGGACTAAATAGTAAATCAAAAAAACATGGTGCAGGCCTGTTAATGCGTTGTTTCTGCAGACGATTGTTGTAAGGCTGGAGAAGTTACTATGTCTGCATTATGCCAGTTAAAATATGAGGTTTCTAATTTACCCACTTTGGTTAGAGTGTTACACATCTCTTTTCATTGGTACACATACCGTTGTTTACCTATCTATGATTACTGTTGTTGTGGTTTGTCGTGCTGTCCACGTTCATATTCTGGCTCAAACATGTCGGGTAGGATTTGAGGTGTTGTCATTGTCGAACATAGCTTATTTGTTGTTTGTTTTTTTGTTTATACGTTGTCCTGACTTCCTGACAGGTCTTGTCAAAATGTTTCCCATTCAAAACTCAGTTTCATGTAGGATTCAGGTTAGGGGAAACATCTCTATGGGGAAATAGATTTCCACAACACAAGCAACAGGAGTTGTGCGCATTCATGAACAATCCTCTCGTTTTCAGGAGGTTCTCCTTGTGATATTGGATTTTATCATTCTGAAATACAAATTATTTGGAGTTATGATGAGTGCTAGGATATTGTTGCTGGTTAATGAGCGGATTAAAGATCCAGATCCATTTTATCATTCTGAAATACAGATTATTTGGAGTTATGATGGGTGCTAAAATAATCTAGAGATACCCAAGATTAAACACTAAATGGTTAGAAATGAACATGCCATGGGGGCTTTAAATATAATCTCTATTTTCTGTGTTACACTAGGAGTCTGAAATCAAGAATTTACACTTCCATGATGACAACCTCCTCTATAGTGTGATAAATCTGAGTGCAGCTGGAACTGACACAACAGCAACTACACTTCAGTGGTGTTTACTTTTCATGTCCAAGTACCCTCATATTCAAGGTGCACAAACATACCCACATGCTCGTCTCAACTAACAGTGCTATTATGAAATCTGAGCACATATTTATCAAATCACGTTCTTGCTTTATGTGCATCCAGACCAGGTCCAGGAGGAACTGAGCAGAGTGGTTGGAAGCCGTCAGGTCCGAGTAGAGGACAGGAAGAACCTGCCTTACACTGATGCTGTCATCCACGAGTCGCAGAGACTTGCCAACATCGTCCCCATGGCCCTTCCTCACAAAACCAGCCGAGACGTCATGTTCCAGGGCTACTTCATCAAAGAGGTCAGAGGACTGTTCAAATCAAAACCAACTGTATTAATCCCACCATAGGCAATTAGTTTTTGGGGTCAGCTTGTACAGTATAAAACATACATGACACATAAAAATGACATAAGTGACACTGGGGGGTGGGGAGACCTGCAGAGACCCTAAGGGCAGCAAAGTCAATTTGTATTTGCATCAAATTCGAGTTGATCATCAAAAACGTACCCAAGTATTCACATGATTCAACAATATCTACACTTTCCTTGTGTATAATACATTTCTTTGCTGCATTTTTACTCCATCTAAAATCAAATGATTGTGCTTATTTTGTTTTAGAAACATTAAAGTCTAGGAAATAAAATCAGTTAGGGCTTTGCCATGGTTGGATTGTGAACCTTGAAGAAGTGACAGTAGTGCAGTGTCATCAGAAAATTTCATCAGATAGCTTCCACTGACTTCTGCGCCGGTCCCAAGCCCAGATAAATAGAGAGGGTTGCATCAGGAAGGGCAAATTTGCCAAATTTAAACATGCGAATCATCAGTGCAAATTCCATATCGGATTGGTCGAGGCCCGGGTTAACAATGACCGCCACCAGTGCTGTTGACCTACAGGGTGCTGGCGGAAATCAGACTACTGTTGGTCGAAGAAGGAGAGGAGGTAGAAGGATTCATAGACTGAGAGAGATGAGGAAAGGTGGGAGTATAGGTCTGAGAATAGGGACTCTTAGCATTGGCACAATGACAGGGAAAGGTAGAGAGCTGGTGGACATGATGGAGAGAAGGAAGGTAGATATACTGTGTGTGCAGGAGACCAGGTGGAAGGGTAGCAAAGCACATAGCATTGGAGGGGGATACAAACTGTTTTATTATGGTGTGGACAGGAAGAGAAATGGGGTAGGAGTGATCCTGAAGGAGGAGCTCACGAGGAATGTTTTAGAGGTGAAAAGAGTGTCAGACAGGGTGATCAGTCTGAGGTTGGAAACTGAAGGGGTAATGTTGAATGTAGTCAGTGGTTATGCTCCACAAGTAGGGTGTGAGTTAGAAGAGAAGGAGAGATTCTGGAGTGAGTTAGATGAGGTGATGGAGAGTATTCCCAGAGGGGAGAGAGTGGTGA